CCTGCCATTTTAACTAGCATGGCTTCCAGCAAAAGTCTGGCTTGCCGCCCAGTTGGAAAGCAGGTGTGCATCACATTTGTGTCACTTAAGCACAGAGATGGATGGTTTTTAAATTGGTCATTTAACACCATATTAAGTGTTTTTAATACTGATTGAGTGTTTTCCTTAATTAAAAGCAAGGAGCAATCAGCAATCCCTACCTTCTCTCTTCAAAACGGGTTAAAAAGCCATGTTATTGCCATTATGATATTACAATACACTTTCCTCAGATGTGATGCAAAATAATTTGTACTACCCGGATCTGTCACTGGAGAAATGACTATTCCTTTAGAAGAAAAGGCACTCCACACTCATACAGTGCCTTTCCGGCCTCAAAGGACTTTCAGTGTTTTGCATGCAGATGGCTGTGCTATTTAGGAGATTCAGATTTGATGATCTGGTGGTCCATTCTGGCCCTAAATTATAAACACTTCCCAAAGGTGCACTTAAAAAAAAAAAAGCAGATGAAAGACCCCTGATAGTTCTAAAATGCACATTCAGCTAAGTACCATTTTAAATAAAATCACTTTACAATCATCCAAATTTTGACCCAAGTTTTTTAAATCAGAGCTCTTCAAATAGGACATTAAGCCATCACATCAGTGGAGGTGAGAAAGCAGTGATGCTATACATGACACCAGCACATTTTAAGGTAACACCAAAGCCTGCCAACCGATAAAAGACATTTGCAGCAGACTAGACTGACATTCCATCTACAGACAATGAAAATAGCCATATGTTGAAAAGACACAGATGGTAAACATGCTGGTAGAATTACTAGTGTTAAGCTAGCAAATGTTACAAGAGTGTTATGGCAAGGAACCTCCTACTAGACCACTTTAAGATACGTTCTATTGCACTTGTATTGAGTCATGAAATTTTAAAAAACCTTCAGCATTAGATGGGCTTTTTATCCACTCCTCCTCCAAAAGAAAGAAATTGGCTCCCATCTTCGCAGAAAAGATTGTAATACTGAGTCTTGAGAATTTAGCCATGTCGTATTATAACAGTTTAAGAGTATGCAAAGCAGAACAGAAAATTAGAACTAAAGAGGAGCCAAAATGGAAATCTTATCTGAACCCTCTCACATAAAAACCAGAACTGAAGTCCAAACTACTGCTATTATTGTTATTTATTATTTCTGTTGTGGTAGCATTGTGGGCCTTGCCCATTGCTGGGACTGAACAAGGTACTGGACAGCTCCCAAACAAAAAGACACACAAAGAGTTTATAGTTTCAATCATCATTCCTGATTCCACAATAGCAAAATCCAAGTATGTGGCAGTTTTGGGGAGAGAGAAATGCAGCTCCCTCTGCTATTCTCCAACTCAACTAAGTTACCAAAATAAATGAACAACATATGTTGTGTGGTGGAATTTTTTTGCTTATTTTTAATTGTATGTGCTCATTTACACTATATTTAATCAGTAATTCATTACCAGTTTTCCAGCCGTTACTGCAAAATTGATTGAAGCTAAATTAAGGATAGTGTTTTATGACATTATACAACATTTTCCCCACAAATGTGTGACAACACAAATCTAATGACACCACGACAGTGCCAAGCAAAAGAAAAAAAAAGGCTTCACAAAAGTGGCAAATGGTTTTAGGGGTTGGAGGTTTTTTTAAACTTAATTTATGTATTTTTCAAAAAGTTTCTCTTGTTGCCATGTCCCTAATTAAGCACCACATTTCTCAGATGATTATGTAGTTAACTTCCCTTAACGTTGATGAGATCCAAGCACATAAATTGCCAGTGTAACAGAGAATTATCTTCTAATTAAGTTCCAATACTGCATCCATCTCCATGGTATCGCTAACAAAGTAAGTTGATACAGATGAAGAAAAAAAGCTTATGGAAGTACAGGCCACATTCACCTATGTACATGAACCCTCTCTGAGGTCTGAGCTGCCAAACTTGAAATCAAGTATCCTCCGCCCTACTAGGAAGTCTGAGATACTACTGGTGTGAGATAAGACCTTGCTTTTCTCATTCCCCTCAAGGGATAGGGTGGAGCTTCACTTTTTCCCTTGCTCTGAAACTAGTTATTAAGTCATCTGTTTATCATGCATATCTACATTCCTAACCTAGTGGAATTTGAGGAATACATCACTAAGAAAGGAATGTACATTGCTGTAGATAAAAATGGGGCTGCTTTTCTCTTTCAAAAAACTTGACCCCCAGAGTTCCATTTGTTCCCGATTCCCCCAATCATGTTTACATTTTTCTACTCTCCAAAAACAGAAGCAGGAAGCAACCCCAGTCTTGCTGAATCATATTTCTAAGCATACAGACATCCACTAGTCACTGACAAAGCAGCATAATGAAAAATGGATTGCAGTTATTACTTATGCCCATTTGATGTTAAAGCAAGGTAGGCAGGTAGCATTTAGCCTTTAACATCAGTCGCGAAATGACAACTTCACCATGGACAGGCCATGGGGGCATATTCTCTCAATGTATATACACATCGTATATACTTGTTCATGAGCCGAGTTTTTTGGTATAAAAGTGAAGCATCAAAGAGTGGGCACTGGCTTATCAATGGGTCTACATTGTTATTGGAGATCGGGTGTAGGCAAACTTCGGCTCCTGGCCAGTCAGGGGAAGCTGCTGGTGCACCGGGACATTTTATTTATCCAGAGCCTCTGCAGGCACAAAGCCCCTCAGCTTCCAATGGCTGCAATTTGCTGTTCCCACAGGCAGTGCAAGCAGAGGGATGCCAGGAATGAGAAACTGAAGCCACTGGGCTCTATGGGGCTTCATGCCTGATGACACTCCAGGTTAACAAAACGTCCCAGCATGCCACCAGCTTACCCTGATGGGCCGAGAGCTGGAAGTTTGCCAACCCCTGAAAGGTAGGGTTGACTTATGAAAGATGCTAGGGTTTTGCCATTTCTATCTATCCATTGGATTGTAAACCACCAGGCTAATGAATGAGTCTATACAGTAATTCCCCCTAGAATTATAGCAGCAGGCAGATGAGGCACTGGTATGTGTAGTGAGTTCTGGGTTACGCAAGTGCAATGCATAGAAAAGGCCAACGCGTATGAATAAATATTTATACAAAAGTGCCCAAAACATGACAGGTGCTGTCAGCACACACAAAGACAATCCAAGCCCTGAAGAACAGCAAAGAAGCAAAGTGGCAACTTGAAGGCTTATCACATTGGCTATCTAGACTGCACTGTTAAATCAGAAAAAGATACACTATTTGCACTGCAAATTGTGTATCTTTTTTCAATTTACTTTCGAAAGAGGCTCTTTCGAAATTTGGCACATCTACACAGCGCCATATTGAGAAAGAAAGTGCTCTTTCAAGCCATCCCTTATTCCTTGTAGAACGAGGTTTACAGGGATGGCAAAAGAGTGCATCCATTTTTTGAAAAAAAAATTCAAAAAAGCGGACACGTTCTTTGACCACAGCATTGCTTTTTTGGGATACTTCTGGTATCCCAAAAAAGCAATGCAGTCTAGACAAAGCTGTTAGTACATCTGTTCCTCTTCCAGCCCAATGGCACTTGCTACACTGCAAGTATTCAGATATGTACAGGCGCTAGTTTCCTTAACTAGTTGTTAACTGGACTGTTTTAAGAAGTTTCACTGCAGTACTTAGGCACTATCATTCACGAGACACCTGGGAGTTAGACTCAGACTTAGGGTTGCATATCAAAAGGTTGCCACATAGTTCCCAGTCTCCTGTGCTGAGGAATTAGGAGATACTTCATGTCTTTTCATCTCCTTTACTCCCTGCCCCCAGCCAGGTGATAATAATTGGACTGTGATTCTTTAATGAGAGATCCAATTTGGATCTTGGTCTGGAATGACTATTAAAGGAGGGACAGATATAAAATCATAGTCTTAACAGCCACGCAAACCCTTCTATTTTTAATGCTCCTCCAGGTGCTTGGCATGACCTTTTGCTGCTCTGCTCCTTACAGCTATTGCTGTTTTATTATCGGAGGGGGCAGTTTGTTGCTACCTGCAATTACAAGGCATGTCACCATTTTAGGCTTTAAAATATACAGAAACATTACAGGTCTACGTTGTGCCAAAGCACCCTTGTGGGCAGTATCCTCTAACCAGAGACCCACTCACCTTACCCTTATAGACAGAAAATGGCCTACTTACAACTAACAGGGTGGTTTTTATAGCTACAGAACACAGCTGACGTTATAGTTGAGGAAACAAAACACTGCACTTCTCAGACCAGGCAGTTTCCAGGTTACTTATCGATGAAATGGTTCTTTGGAACTGCTCGAAGCCTGACAGTTGCATTCAGAGACCCGACTGATGAACTGTGCGGATATTTTCTCAAATTGTTTTCATACTTTGGGGAGCGTTACACAAATATCGTCTTTAGTTTATGCAAAACAAAAAAAAATTAAAGATGTACGTGTTCATTTCTTTAAATACTGGGAGCGTCTTGGCCTAGTTAAACAAGCCTCACAGAAAGTCATGGCCTGTATTTCTTCTAAGCTGAAAGAATCTCCACAGAAAATTATCCTCTTAGTGCCCTGAGTCTGGCGCCTAGCAGCCAGCACTAAATACCAACTCAGCTGGGATCATTTTGCTCAAGGTTCTCTTCCATTTGTGAGGCCTGACAATGTATGCCATACACTGTACAGTGCAATACTGATTCATAAGCGCTGTGAAATGCATTCATATAAAAACCACAGTGTCTCGGGACTGTCCTGTAGAGGCAAGTGTATGTTCTTTTGGAAATAAAACAGAAAGCAGAACATTAACTCTCCCTTTGAAAATAGGGCTCTCTGGGTGTAAAAAAGTCCTGACCATGCTAATTCTGGCTGCCGCTGTTTCAATCATTTTTAGGATTAATTGTTCAGAAAAAAAACTAATAACCCTTGTCACTGAAGCTGCCTCTGGCAATTGGTTTTGCTCTAACATATAACTATTCAATTTTAAAGTGACATTAGCCCAAGAAATATAGATCTCTCACCTTCCACTTCTTCTTCGTCACATACATGCTTGAGGAAGGAAGCCCCTCTGTCCAGCACCGCCTCATCTTCCATTCTGTAGTAATAGAAAAGGAAAAAAGAGTGCTCAGACTTCTCCTGGAGTGAGCTATTTGAACCACCCCAACTCCTGGGCTGGTTAACCTGCAAACTATTGTTCATGTTAGACGCTGTTGCACTTCCTTCCACGTTTGCTGTTCCTTCATGCAGCTCCCTTTGAATGGCGTTCGGTATTAAGCTGGCCCCACGTAGCTCAAATTCTAATCTTGAGAGGACATCAGTGGTGGCAGGTGTGAGAAAGGTAATCCCAGCTAGGAGTCTTGTCTTTAAAAAGAGACACACACATAATAGTTCGGTGTGCCTCTACAATAGCCAGTAGTTTGTGGAAATCCAGTTTCGCTGACAAACTCTTCTAAAACACACAGCCTGGAGAACCACTTACACCAGCCGACACACACAGCGCATGCAGACACACACATACATTCTCATGCACAGCGAGAGGCCAGGCGTCAGCCAGCCTCTTAATACCAGCAAAGCACACTTCTCCGCAGAGAGGCAAGCTTTATGTCTGTCACATGTTGGCCTTACGGAAATCTGACATCTGAGGATTATCCTGAGACCAAGCTACAGCAAGTCAGGCCATCACAGCAGTTGTGTGTGTCTGTGCCATCCATTCATTCATTGATTTTCTACATTTCTTTTTTAAATCTCTCCACCCCCCATTTTTCTTCTCCCATTTGCTCCTAATTTTATCACAATACCAGGAAGTCGCGTTGCATTAAACGTGATTTTCACTATACAATTTCACCACAAAAGACCTCAGTAACTTCCCAAACGAGTGTTTATAAACCCATTTCTGACTAGCAAATATTAAGAGCGACCATTAAAATTAAAAGGAATCTGCAACATACTAAATACTTAAATCATACTTAACGTGGATGCTAAATAAACATTTGTAGACTTTATTACAGTTACCACGTGCTCTTAGGATAGGGAAACCATTCAGTGATACCTGTCAAATACACATTCTTACTTTACACACCGCAAGCATTTGGCACTGAAGTCAATGAGGCTTTCCAGACCAGAACTGGGGCCTAAAGATTTCTACAAAGTCTGAAAGACAGGTGCATTTGGGTAATAAAAAACACAGCATTCTTTCCTGCAAAGGCTGAGAGGGCCAGACCAAAGTAGGAGAGTCCCAAACATACCAATTTATTATACCATCTTCTAATCATGCTCCCCCATAATGGTAGTCTACTATAGGGATGTGAGTAGTCAAGTTGAGTGCTCAACTACTTGCTTCTCTCTCCCCGCCCCCGCCTTGCTACCTCTGTTTGAGAGGCAGAGAGGGAGGGGGAATGACAGGAGCTGATGATGGGGGCAGGGGCAACTCCTACTACATTTAAACTGCAGAGGGGGTAACTCCTGGACCAGCACGAGCCAGGACAGAGCACCTTCCCTTACCGACTAATTGTGTAGATATAAATTGTATCATCTACTACACGATTAGTTGATTATCCACTTCCTAACATCCTTAGTCTACTAACAATAGCAGCTATGGATTTAGATCTTCAAGAGCTCAGAGCGAACACGTGCATCTAGAGACCTAGTAGAGCTAGGTGACTGGGTATCGAAATGGCACATGAAATTTAATGCTGATAAATGTAAGGTCATGCACATTGGAAAAAATAATCCCAACTATACATACAATATGATGGGGACTAATTTAGCTACAACAATGGTCCCCAACCTTTTGGGGCTGCCGGGCACCCGGGGGCGGAGCTGCGCATGCGCCACGGGGGCGGGACGCAAGAATGGCTTGGGCTGGCCCTGATCACTCAGTGGGCGCACATAAATGCCCCTGGTTGGGGACCACTGAGCTACAACTATTCAAGGGAGAGATCTTGGAATCATTGTAGATAGTTCTCTGAAAACATCCACTCAGTGTTCAGCGGCAGACAAAAAGCAAATAGAATGTTAGAAATAATTTTAAAAGGGATAGAGAATAAGACCGAGAACATCTTAATGCCTCTATATAAAACCATGGTATGCCTACATCTTGAATACTGCATACAGATGTGGTCACCTCATCTCAAAAAAGATATATGGCATTGGAAAAGGTTCAGAAAAGGGCAACAAAAAATGATTAGGGGTTTGGAACAGGTCCCATATGAAGAAAGATTAAAAAGAGTTGGACTTTTCAGCTTAGAAAAGAGGAGACGAAGGGAGGATATGATAGAGGTCTTAAAAATCATGACTGGTGTAGAAAAAGTGAATAAGGAAAAATTATTTACATATTCCCACAATATAAGAACTAGGGGTCACCAAATGAAATTAATAGGCAGCAGGTTTAAAATAAACAAAAGGAAGTTTATCTTCACTCAGCGCACAGTCAACCTGTGGAACTCCTTGCCAGAGGATGTGGTGAAGGCTCGGACTTTAACAGGGTTTAAAAAAGAGCTAGATAGATGAACGGAGGTAGGTCCATCAATGGCTCTTAGCCAGGATGGGTAGGAATTGTGTCCCTAGCCTCTGTTTCGGGATCACGTGAGGATTCCCTGTTGTGTCACTTCCCTCTGGGGCATCTGGTATTGGCCAATGTTGCCAGACAGGATACTGGGCTGGATGGACCATTGGTCTGACCCAGTTTGGCTGTTCTTAAGACCAATCTGTTTACTAGCATGTCTGCTTTGCTACACTTTTCAGAGGTGTTAGTCAGTTGCAGCAAAAAATCAAAGAGTTCGGTGGCACCTTATATGTCTGCTTTGCTACACTTTTCAGAGGTCTTAGTCAGTTGCAGCAAAAAATCAAAGTTCGGTGGCACCTTATATTTATTAGTCTTTAAGATGCCATGGGACCCCTCATTGTTCTGCTTTGCTACCAGAGGACAATCCTTCTCTGAGCAAAAGCCATTCCAAGAACTTTTCAAGCCAATAAAACTTCGTAATTCCCCTCCGCCTCCTTCCGTTCCCCAATTTCCAGCTAACGGTTTACCAGCAATTCTCCTATCAACCAAGTTGTGTTTTCCTCCACCTTGTAGTCTAACATCTGCATTATCGTAGCATCTAGCTTAGTGATGAGTGGCCTGCAAGCCATATGTGGCCAATCAGGATTCTATGTGTGGCCCATGAGATATTTTGTTTACTGTTGCCCATGCGCAGGGTTGCTAGATTCTTCTGGTTTCCCGCCTCATAGTACTAATAAAGAGACAGGCGCATAAAGCAAGGGCACGTGAAGTGAGGTGCATGCCGACTGCAAACAACACTGGATGCAGAAGGAGACCATGGCTCTCACAATCAAAGCACTACCACAGTTCAATCTGTACACCCTAAAAATCCTAGATAAGCAAGCACAGCTAGCAAACTACCCTGTTCCAGGAGATCGTCTTGGTTATGACAATCATGCTGCCAGCTGAGATGAAGGCCTACTTACTAGCTTAGATTGCCCATCACTGCTCTAGCTATTAGTTTCCAAATACGGAAAGCTCACTTTGCGCAGCAGTTGCCTGAATATTTTATATAGGGGGAGAGGCAAAGGAAAGGGTACCAAATTCAAAACCAGTAAAGTGAATGCCCGCAGTGCACTTGTTTCTTCTGGATTACTGGACAATGATAATTACTAGAGCACCATGTGACAGGTATAATTCTAGCAATCAGCCCAAACCAAAATCCTAGATCCTGACACCCACAAAGTTTAGAGCCAAATCTGAACTTTGCACACAGGCCCATCTCCAATTAATATAGCCTGCTGCTTTCTGCACATACTGTATGCTGCAGGTAACCAGCCACCTGTTCTGGAGGATAAATTCGTATGATTTTAAAATGTATGAACACTGTATTATTTTACAAAACTGTTGTTTCCTTGCATTGTGAGATAAGATTTAACACTTAGTACAAGCTAGCATTAGCGGCTAAAAATACAAAGCCAGCAGACCTGCACAAAAGCCTTGCCCTAGAGCTCACATTTATTAAATTATTCAACACTATTTATGCAGCTTTTGTTATGCATACCAAGGAATTGTTTCCATGGCCGATTGTCTATGTGCAATGTGTGAGAAAGGAAAATGAACTGCTTTTCTTTTAAACAGCACAGCAGTTACTTGCTATAAATGCAGCTGAAAACATCTGGAACAGATGGCACTGACTTTTCAGACCAAGTAGAAATCTAATACACATGTATTTCTTCCTTGATTACTTCACAAAAATCTATTCTTGCAGAGGTTTCCTCATAAACTGCTCTACCAATATGTCAAAGGATAAGACCCTTTTTAAAGCAGCAATATCAATTAACACAAAGGACCCAGATTGTGTGAGTTTAGGAATGGTTTTTAATAGGCCTTACATCCACAGGAATATTTTCAAAAATTCTTTCCAGCCCAATATTAAACATTGCCCTACTCTCCAAACATTACAGTATTGTAGTAATGTTGTGTAACCAAGGTGTGACAACAGTGGAAGGCAGGACTGCCCACGAGGAGTGTAATGCAGACAAGCTGAATGAAGATTTAGTTTTTAAAATGCTATTCTAACAAACTAAAATGGCACATGTAATGCTGGCAAGTTTGTCTTTTGTTTAATATGGTTTGAATCCACTCTGAGTGGCTCCGCGCCATTGCATACAGATTACATGAGAAACATGAAAAGCTTCATATGTGTCAGAATTTGCATTATGAGAAAGTGAGAATCATCTTCCACTTCCCTTCAGGTCCGCCAACTGCTGGTTGACTACACAGCATTAACAGCTGCTAAATTAGCGAGTGACAAGCCACCAGAAGACAGACAGAAAGACAAACAGCTGTCTTTGGACAGGACTGTTCAAGGTCCCACCCCTGCACAGTTCGGAGCCAAATCAAACTGCCTCATGTTTAACATTTTATATAGTTTTACAGTAACAGCTTCTAGTCTGAGGATATTTCAACCTTTATGCTTTCCCAAAAATGGCCCGCAGAGGGAGGTACAAGTTGAATGGCCAGAACTAGTACTTCAGCTATCTTGGCTCTCATCACAACCACAATCTCAGTTTCAAATCCCAAAGGCACATGGACTCCTGGCAAACTGA